TGGAAACACTGAGGAAGGGAATAGCAGAGATGTAAAACAGATGGAAAATCCATACCTGCTCGTGGATCGGCAACTCAATATCATCAATGTCTAGTACTACCAAACTGATTACAGATCAATGCCAATAGCCTATTAAAATCCATCAGCATTCTCACAAATAGAAAAATAATTTTACGCTTCGTATGAAACCAAAGAAGACCCCGAATATCAAGAGCATTCTAGCAACAAAAACAAGGGAGGCATTAATGATGCTGAAATCAAACTATACTACAAGCTTAGTAATTAAACAATATGAGATTGGCACAAAAACAGGAATATTGACCACGTGGGAACAGATTGGGAGATCCTGATATAAAAACCTCCCATATAGCCATCTAATCTTTGACAAACAGACAAAAACATACCGCTGGAGGTAAAAGAATCCCTGCTTTCAATTAAATGTGCTGGGAAAACTGGATAGCCACCTGTAGAAGGCTTAACAGGACCCACACCTTTCACCTCTCACAAAACAACTCACTCTGGATAAACAGATTACAACCTAAGTATGAAACATAGAAACTTCTAGAAGATAAAAGTGGAAACACTCTCCTAAGACATGGCCTGGGCAAAAGATTTATGAAGAAGTCCCCAAAGGCAAATCCACAGCAGCAAAAAAATAAATAAATGGGACATGATCAAACTACCAAAATCTTCTGCACAGCAAGAAATAGTCATGAAAGTAAACAACAAACCTACAGCGAATGGGAGAAAATTTTTGCATCCTATGCATCCGATAAGGGACTGATAACTAAATACTTAAACTCACGAAAATCAGGAAGAAAATCAAATACCCCATTAAAAGTGGGCAAAGGATTGAACAGAATTTTCTAAAGAAGCAGAAGATTGCCAAAACATATGAAGAATGCTCACATCTTAATCATCAGGGAAATTGCAAATCAAAAACCACAATGAGATATCCACTTAACCCCAGTGAGAATGGCCTTTATCAAAATCTCCAAAACAATAAATGGCTGGCGTGGTTGCGGAGGAGAGAGGAACACTCCTACACTGCTGGTGGGACTGCAACTAGTTCAACCTCTGGTGGAAAGCAATATAGAGATACCTTAAACGTACAAGTGATCTACCATTTGATCAGCAATCCTTTGCTGGGCATCTACCCAAATGATCAATGACACTCTACAAAAAGACCACCTGCACTCGAATTGTTCATAGCAGACATTCATAATCGCCAAGGCTGTGGAAACAGCCCAAGTGCCCATCAATCCAAGAATGGATTAATAAAATGTGTATATGTATACCATGAGTACTATTCGCTCTAAGAAACAAGGTGATATAGCACATCTTATTTTTCTGGTTAGAGCTGACCATACTACTAGAGTTGAAGTATCCCAAGAATGGAAAAACAAGCACCAGATATATTCTCCAAGCAAAAGACTGGTATTAACTGAGTAGCACCTAAGTGGACACATAGGTGCTACAGTAATAGGGTATTGGGCAGGTGGGAGGGGGGAGGGGGGCGGGTATATACATACATAATGAGTGAGATGTTCACCATCTGGGGGATGGTCATGATGGAGACTCAGACTTTTGGGGTTAGGGGGGGAAATGGGCATTTATTGAAACCTTAAAATCTGTACCCCCATAATATGCTGAAATAACAAAAAAAAACTTCAGAAGCCAAAATAATCTCCTTTGACTCTATGTCCCACATCTTGGGCACACTGGGGTTGGAAGTGTGCCCTCAAGGCCTCAGACAGCCTTGCCCCTATGGCTTTGCTGGGCTCAGTCCACTCAGCAGCTCTCATAGGTGGGAATCTTGTGCCTGTAGCTTTCCCAGACTAGATTTGCACACTGGTCACCCTACAGTTCTGGGGTCTCAGGAGCTGCCCCACTCCCGTGGTTCTGCACGGCATTACCCTAGTGGGGACTCTCTGTGGTATCTCCACCACTGCAAAAAGTCTCTGCCTGTGCCCCCAGGATGTTTGTGACATCCTTTGAAATCTAGGTGGAGGCTGTGATGACTCCATAGCTCTTGAATACTGTGTGCCTACAGAATTAACATCACGTGGACACTGCCAAGGTTTACAGCTTGTAGCTCTAAGGCAGTGAGTCACGCTATACCTGGATCTTCTGGAGCTATGGCTGGGATGAATGATGGCATTGCACCAGAGTTTAGGGAGCAGAGTCCTGAGGTGACACAGGGCAGTCAATGCTGAGGTCCAGTGGGCACCTCTCTAGAAACTTTGCCCTCAAAATCCTGTCCTTCTTCCAAGATCTCTAAAATGCCTTCAGAGCCATTCTTTCACTACCTTGAAGAATAGAACCTTCTCCATATTAATCACTTTAGCAAACTGTCATTTGGCCACACCATTAGTATTCTCTTCCAAACACGTTTTTTATTTTCCACATGGCCAAGCTGCAAGTTTTACAAATCTTTCCATTCTGCTTCTATTTTAATTATAAACTCTTCCTTTAAATCAGTTCCCCCTTCTCTCATTTTACTGTAAACAGCCAAAGAAGCCAAGCTGAACACTTTGCTGCTTAGATATTTCTTTTCCCAGATAGCCTAGTTCATCAACTCTTAAGTTCTGCTTTCCACAAAGTCCTAGGAAATGGACAAAATTCCATCAAGTTCTTTGCAACTATGTAACAAGAATGGCCTTTACTCCAGTTTCCAATACGCTGTTTCTCAGTTCTCTCTGAGAACTCATCAGAATGACCTTTCCTGTCCATATTTCTACCAACATTCTGATGATGACCACTTAAGTAATCTCTAAGAAGATTTAGGCTCTCCCTACAGCTCTTATCTTCTTCTGAGCCCTCACCAGAATTGACCTTAATTCTCCACTCATGGAAAACTTGGACTGCTCTTCCAAATTCTTCCAGCCTCTACTCATTACCCAGTTCCAAAGCCACTTCCACATTTTGAGTTACTTGTTACAGCAACAGCCCACTTCTCAGTACAAATTTTCTGTCTTAGTCCATTTTATGCAGCTATAACAAAATATCTCAGACTGGGTAATTTATAATGAACAGAATTTTATTTGGGTTATGGTTTTGGAGGCTGGGAAGTCCAAGATTGAGGGGCAACATCTGGTGAGAGCCTTCTTGGTGTATCACAACATGCCAGAAGGCATCACATGGATAAGAGAGAGAGAGAGAGAGAGAGGCCAAACTCATCCTTTAAAGGACTTCACTCAGGCCGGGTGCAGTGGCTCACACTTGTAATCCTAGCACTCTGGGAGGCCGAGGCAGGCGGATTGCTCGAGGTCAGGAGTTCAAAACCAGTATGAGCAAGAGCGAGACCCCGTCTCTACTAAAAACAGAAAGAAATTAATTGGCCAACTAATATATATATAGAAAAAATTAGCCGGGCATGGTGGCGCATGCCTGTAGTCCCAGCTACTCGGGAGGCTGAGGCAGTAGGATTGCTTGAGCCCAGGAGTTTGAGGTTGCTGTGAGCTAGGCTGACGCCACGGCACTCATTCTAGCCTGGGCAACAAAGCGAGACTCTGTCTCAAAAAAATAAATAAATAAAGGACTTCACTCTTGCAATAACAAACCCACTCCCACAATAACAGCATTAATCCATTCATGAGCACAAAGCCCTCATGAACTAATCACCTCTTAAAGGTCCCACCTCTCAACAATGTTGCATTGGAGATTAAGTTTCCAACACATGAAATTTGGGGAATACATCTAGACCATAGCAACTAGTAGGGAACACAAATTAGGACTCACTTGATATCCAGGGGGGATCTAAAGCCTGGAAAAGAGAATTCTATGACACAAACCATTTTTGCTTGCCTCAGCAGCTGATGCCTCACTTTGCAGAGTGACACTAGAGATTTCTGCAGTCCACAACTTCAGCCTGGAAGGAGGAAAAGGGAGACAAATCTTTCAACTTGAATGGGATTTTCAAAGATGCCCCAAGTATAGTCTATTGGCAGTCCACAACATCTCCAATCCCACCCTCTTCCTTGGATTTCAGGAGCTGGAAGCCTCAAGACAATATTTCTCAGACTCCCTTGCCAATGTAATCTCTCTGGACAAAATTTGGAGGAGAGAAGTAGAAGCCATACTTTTTCTCTATCAGGGAGAGCAGACAAGTATCTTTTGGCAGATGTGAGTTTTCACAGCACCCTGCTAAATACCATTCTAAGCTAATCATCTTGGGGCCATGGGACATTCATGATATTAGCAATGGTATTCTGCAGTTTTCTGATCTCTGGGTGGCAGAAACAACTTCGTGATCTTCTAGACCATGGTGATCCAGAAAGCTAGCTGTGACCCCTGACCTTTGCTCCTCTGTGTTCTTTCTTACTTCCAGGAATGATGATGACCACAGTGTCTTGGAAGCTGTTTTGAAAAGGGCAGACATGGCAATACCTTGGGTCTATATGAAGGAGCACTGCCTGATAATATGGAATACTCATGGTTGATTCTTATGTGAGCAAGAAAGAGATTGCATCTGAGCCATTATATTGTGGGTGTAATTATTCCAATAGTTTGGCCTAACCAGAGTAGTATAAAGTTGTAGTATGCATCTAGTTATTGGTAGTCCCTAGAGTTTATGAACAGGCCACTGGGCTTACAAACAGTATCTGAGCATCTGAGAGGTTGCTGTAGCTACATTTTCCCCAGGATGATGCCTGCATGACCATGCAGACCTGTGAAGGATATGTTTTGGCCTTTTTCCTAGGCTCAGTACATCTGTGTTCTCCTAAGCAGCTACATGTTTATGTGTTCAGTATGGAATGGGGGCAAGAAGGCCTGGAATGGAGATAACCCTAGTTTTTCCTGCAAAGTCATGAATAATCCAACATTGAACAATGCCCATTCTTTATTACTCTCATCCCCAGAACCCCTGGGCAACAGAGGGAGGAATGAGGGAGAGAGGAATGGAGGAGGGAGGAACATTGGCTGAAAAGTCAAGTAGAGTGGGTCCTAGTTCCAGTCTGCTAACAACTCCATGAATAATCTTTTCTCTCCTTGGGTCTCAGAGTCCTCACCCCTAGAAAGGGAGTTATTTAGGGGTCTCAGTAGTGGGATTCAGAGAACACACAAGTCCTATTCCTCATCCCTTATTCTCCATGTCTGTGTGTGTGTGTGTGTGTATGTGTATGTGTATGCATGTGTATGTTTTTAAGAAATTCTACTGCTTGGAAACCATAGCTGTCAAACCAAAGGGTGGCTCAGATTGTTTTGACTCAAAGTGCGGTCCAAAAACTATAGTATCAGCATTACCTGGGAGGTTGTTAGAAACACAGGATCTCAGGCCCACCACACAAGTACTGAATCAGAATCTGCAATTTAACAAGATCCCCAAAGAGATTCCAATGCACATTCAAGTCTGAGATGTACTTCTCCAGAGAACCTGAAATGATACAAATGTAAGACTAAAAAAAAAGGATGGGATGTGAAGTCAGGAGACCTAGGTGCTAGTTTTAGTTCTGCCAATTACTGGCTGCCCAAATTAAGCCAGTCATGTAATCACCCTGATCCTTTTTCTTAAATGGCGTGCTCTAATAACTACAGAATGGTGTAGAGGACAGTGGTGTGTGTTCTGGAGCCAAAGAGCCTAACCTTAAATCTTTATTTCATTTATGATCTATGAAACTTTGAGTGAACTGCTTGACATCTGCAGGCTTCAGTCTCCTTATCTGGAAGATAGGATATAATAATGAGGGATACTAGTAATTTTTAAATGAGGTAATTGATGTAAATCACATGGCACAATGTCTGGCTTAGTTTAAGTCCACAGTACATGTTACTATACCCTGGCTTACTATAGTATCTTTCAAGAACAGAAAGACACCTTGAAAGTAGAATCGCCTGCGGGCTACCTGAAGTCTTCTACCTTTGCTTTTTTTCACAGTCCTCAACAATAGGCACAGTCACCCAAAACTGGAATTCTAACCTCTAAGCCCACCAGACAGCTATGAGATTGGCTTCATGATATCATTTTGGAAATCCACAGGGCTAGAAACAGAGAGACTAATGCAATCCAACATGGAGACAAGCACTTCCAACAGGCCTTCCCTTCCCCACAGGAACTCACAAAGTCCAAAGAATAGAACATCATCAGGCCATTGCCTGATGGGCCTGTCACCACTCACTGGAGGGAAAGCTTCCAGGAAGAGGCAGGTACCAGGGACCTTCAGCAAACCATGAAACCACAGCAAGAAAGCAAGCATGACTCAGCTCCTGCCCACTGCAATTACTTAGGAACTCTGCCCCTTGGATGTGGAAAAAGCCCAGCGGTGCTTCCCAGTAAGCTGCTATTCAGGTCTGGAACTTTCTAACAAATGACGTGGGAAGTCACTTTTTGAGGGCAGGGTCAAACTGGATTTCAGAAGGTTTGCCCCCACTGGGATGACTGAAACAAACTATAGACTGGGTACCGATGCAAATGATAACATTGTAGCATCAGAAATAAAATAGATAAATTCCAACTCAGTAAGAAGCCTAACTTCTGCATTAAAAAGTGTTTGCAGCTAGATATAAGTAATGATCCCAGGCAAGGTTGGTGCCAGGCACAGACACATTGTGCAAGAAGATGGCAAAAGGAAAGCCTATGGTGTGGAAAGGCCCAGCAAGGAGACCAGCATGTTGCATAGTGTGTGGGAGGGGACAATGGAAACTAACACCATTTGCCAGGTGCCTGCCATGGGCTATTTCTGGGCTTGGGGTTCTAGAGGTGTTCCTTTGAACAGTAACAGCAGCCATCTAGGACAGGGGGTCCATGGCTATGGCAGATAAGAGAGGACTAAGGCCCAAGAGGCCAGTAAATAGTGGATTCAAGCCTTCTGTACCAATGGATTAGTAAATCCAGACAGCCTAGGCAGAATGTGGGTTGGAAAAGCACTTTTGTGTGTTTCTTGATTCCTCGGTGCCAATGTCATGACTGGCAAATGCAGGCATTGCAATAACGGCATGCTTTTCACCGGGCCCCATCCAAAGCATCAGCCCCTTCTCCTTTTGTGCAAGCACCTCTTCCTGCAGAATCAGGATGTGGGGGGAGTCTGGCCAGGGCCACAGACCAAATGCTTCCACAGCTTGGGATTTCTCTACTGTCTTCGGGACACAGTCACACCAACACTATTAACCCTTTCCAGCCTAGTGATTATGGTATCTGAAGAGAAGGATATCAGGTCACCTCTCCTCTAGAAATAAATAGCTTGGTATCTCTAAACCTGGCCATCATTTACACATACACATGAAATCCTCAATGGGTGATAATTCATTGCCCACAAGCCCAAGGGAAAACAGGCTCTTTTCCTGGGATTTCTACAGGAGGCTTAGACAGAGTCACTTCCCACATGTCTGGACTGAGTTTGCAGATTTGGGCCTTGACGCATCCAAAACACCTGGGGAATGTGAGTTAACTTCAGAGAAGAAAGGAAAAGAGGAGAAAGAAACATGTTCAAATAGAAATTAAATGTCTGATGGATTCCATGATCGCAGTTGACACTCACAACTATGAACAGTGTCTGGCACCAGCTGGCTCCAGCGCAGAAGGAATTGCTGTGTACCTGGGCTGAGACCCTGCCATGCCTGACCCAAGGAGGCCTGACCAAGCAGGCACAGCAAGCACAGAGAACACACTTGGCCTCTCTCCTCCAGACCCTGACAGGAAAGAGAAAGCTTTCCTCCAGGCCGCCACAGGCCTTTTTAGCAGGCCATGTTGCCACTGGCTGGCATTCTCAGAGAGAACAGCTCTCCGCTATTTTACAATTCGTTTCCCAAAAAGCAAAACGCAGATTTTCCCAGGATGTCTAGGATCCCAAGAACTGGAGCTCCTGCATTTGAGAAAAGTACAGTGAGGTCAAGGTCCTCCAGATTCATGCCTGCCAGGCAGAGAGAGCAGCTTTCCTCGCTCTGCCGGGAACTCCAAGGGCAGGGTCCACCAAGCCAGGCCAGAAAGTCCTCGGGCTGGGGGAGGGGTGTTGTCCAAAACCACGGTGCGATCAAATTAAAAAGCTTCTGCACAACCAAGGAAACTATCATTACAGCAAATAGACAACCTACAGAATGGGAGAAGATATTTGCGTGCTACACATCCAATAAAGGTCTGATAACAAGAATCTGTATAGAGCTTAAGAAGATTAACAAGAAAAAGATCAAACAACTCCATCAAAAAGTGGGCAAAGGACATGAACCAAAACTTTCAAAAGAAGACAGAATAATAGCCAGGAAACATGTAAAAAAGTGTTCAACATCTCTAATCATTAGGGAAATGCAAATCAAAACTACAATGAGATATCACTTAACTCCCGTGAGAATGGCCTTTATCAAAAAGTCCCAAATCAACAAATGCTGGCGTGGATGTGGAGAGATAGGAACACTCTTATACTGCTGGTGGGATTGCAAATTATTACAACACCTGTGGAAGTCATTTGGAGTAATCTCAAAGAACTAAACATAGAAATACCATTTGATCCAGCATTCCCACTACTAGGCATCTACCCAAAGGAAAAAAAAGACATTTTATAATAGAGACATCTGCACTTGAATGTTTATGGCAGCACGATTCACAGTTGCAAAGCTGTGGAAACAACCCAAGTGCCTATCAATACATCAGTGGATAAATAAAACGTGGTATATGTATACCACGGAATACTACTCAACTACAAAAAACAATGGTGAACTAGCACCTCTTAAATTATCCTCGACACAGCTGGAGACCATTATACCAAGTGCAGTATCACAAGAATGGAAAAACAAGCACCACATGTACTGGCCATCAAATTGGTACTAACTGATCAACCCAAGGTGCTCACTTGGAAGTAATATTCATTGGTGCCGTCAGGTGGGAGAGACTGGCAGAAGTGGTTAAGCACACAACTAATGGGTGCCGAGCGCACTTTATGTGGGAAGGGCACACTTGTAGCTCTGGCTTGGGCGAGGCAAAGGCATTATATGTAATCAAAATGTTTGTACCCTCATAATATTCTGAAATTAAAAAAAAAAAAGAATAGTACAACGAGGGTTTCTTCCCGGATTCCGGGAGGTTGGTGGCCCTGCGGCCCAGCTCCAAAGCCCCTCCTCCAGGCCACTTCCCCTAATGAGCCAGACCCCTCTCAGCTCTCAGGACTGTCTGAGCCAGGCCCGGGTCCCCGCTCTGTACTACCCGTTCCGGCCTCTAGATGGCCCCGCCCTAGTTGCGCTAATGACAGAAGAGGCCTGACTCTCTCTTTTCCTGGCCCCAGGAGCAGAAGGCAGTGGAAAGCGTGGCTTCAGGAATGGAGGGGTGAGAACTACCAGGGGCGCAGGAAAACAAAGCGGGAGAGGGGGGTCCGGCCTCGGTGCGGGCAGGAGCCCGGCCGCTGGCCTCTTGCCACCCAGGGACACCTCCCAGAGCCTTTCGTACGACCCGCCAGAGGAAATGGTCGCACGCTCTTGTCGCTCCCTCTTGCGTCTGAGCGAGTACTGTCAAACCACACTCTCTGAAAGGCGCCATGTTGACCATCGGCGGTGGTGCCCGCCACCCCCCCTCCCCCGGGTCCTCTCATGCGCATGCGCAGTGCCGCGACCTCGCATTCCCAGAGTGACGGGAAGCGGAAGTGCTCAGCCGACCCAGGAGGGCCTCTTGTAGTTTATGCGGGCAGTTGTCATCGGTCCCTGACGGGCTCTTGGCGGTGAAGTAAGGGGGAGACGGAGATGGTGATGGGTTTGATGGGCTGGGGTTGTTGGTAGGGTTGTGAGTGAGCGCCCTTGTGGAGGTTGAGAGACGCGGGCCGTGGCCGTGAGTGTTGGGATCGCGTGTTTGGAATTGATTGAGTCATTCAGGGACGGTTTCCTGAGTGCCTAATTAATGCCAGGCACCATTGCAAATATTTCACATTAGTCTTCCAGGAGCCCTGTGGGGTAGTACTATGATTATATCCATTTGACAAAGAAAATAGCAGTGTGGCTCGGCAACCTGTCCAAAATCACATAGGTAGCAAACCCAAGGGATCCTTTATCTTTTCCTATATTTATCATGTTTATTGTTTCCCATCTGCCTTCCCTGCTAGAATATAAGCTCCACAGGAGCGGGGAACTCCAAAATTTTTTGCCAGATATATCTCTAACACGGAAAACAAGCACATAGAAGGCACTCATTTCTTAAATGAATTAAAGTGGCATAGCAGGCTATTAGTTGGTTCCAAAGATGAGACCCTTAGTAAGGCAATGTGCAGCTCATTGACGATTGGTGAGCTTTGTATGAATGCTGACTCTTAAAAGTAGAACGAGACATTTCATATTCTGTTGCGTGAAAACCTTTGGATTTTACCGAACTTCACTCCATGGAAGGTAGCAAAGGGGTTGCTAATGAAATCTCCTGTGGTCATTGTGTGTCCAGGGTCAGAGTGTGTAACTGAGACCACTGCTCACCAACTGCAGACTCCAGCCTATCTGTGTCCAGGCTTCCTCACTTAGTCTGAGAAGACCCATTCAGAGGCCTCAGGAAGAGGTGAGTTCCCTGGGTCACAGGCAGACATCTGGTACTGCAGTGAGGTCCCAGTTCACGTGTGTTTGTGTCTGAATTTCTTGGTCCTGTCTCCTTGAGAACAAGAGAGGTGCTCTGAGGCAAGTCGGAGGAGAAGCCTCAGCACAGAGGCCAGACCCACATCCTCAGGGCAGAGGGAAGAGGCTCACAGGACAGTGGTCCTAGAAGAGCTGGACCTGCAGTAGCCTTTGTCTTTCATGGTCAGCTGAGAAAAGGCAATGCTGGCTCAACCTCCAGGTGCCATCAAGGACCATGTGACAGTGGGCAATGATCCCTGTTGGAGGAGAGAGAGATGAAAGTCACAGGTAGATCAAGGCATGGATGTCCCCCTTGGGGCTGGTCCCCTGCTATAGGCAGGATGAGGCTGGGAAGGATCATGACCAGCCACAGAAGTCTTCATCCTCTCCTAGCACACCTACTTGTACGACTTAATGCTCCCCTCTCTTGCCACTGGCTACTTTTAGATTTGAGTCAGTGCCACGGCATCAACCTTGCACCTGCTCAAGGGGAAATGCTGAATCTTCCTCCTGCCCAAGGTGCAGAAAATATATTTTTAGTTTATAGAATTTCATAGTCGTCTACAGGTATGCTCTCATCCAGTTTTGCTGCCTCATTTTGATGCTTAATGAAGCTGGGTCTGAGAACATGACTTTTTACGACACAGGAGCTGAATGAACCCTGTTGTCCTGATGCTGTTGTAGTGATTGCTGCAGCATGTGACGGTTACTCTGTCCAGAAGCTCCTGGCTGAAACCTTCTGAAAAACTGCCAAACAAGAGAGAGCATCGCAGTCAAAATGCAAATTGTGGGAAAGGAGGAAGTGGATGGGCAGGAACAAGGTGGTGCAACAGCCAGTGATGCATGGAGGACAGAGGAGGGCAGGCACAGTGGCTTCCAGCTTCACCTAGAACTGAGGAATTCTGTACTGTTACCCACCTGCCTGCCACCCCTCCCTCCCTCCCTCCAGCCTTCTGAGCCCTGGTTTGTCTCCTCCCACCAAACTATATCAAGAGATTCTTCTTATACACACTCTGCTGAGGGTCTTTTCATCTCTAGGGTTCTGTGTGATAATAGGTGATTTTGAGTCATTTTTAATTTTTATTTCACTCGTAATTAATATTCACTGTCAAAAAATGAGAAAATGGAAATAAACAAGGGAAGGAAATTGAAATAACCATCAACAGTAACCAACTTTTCAATAAATGCTCTTCAAGTCTTCATATGTGATCATATCGCTTAACAAACATGAGATCACACTTTATTTTTTTGTAACCTACTTTTAAGTATCTTAAGAACTAAAAACAAAATTCCATAGCATTTTTATTTTAAGAGATGGAGTCTTGCTGTGTTACCTGGGCTGGCCGTGGACTTCTGGGCTCAAGTGATCCTTCCACCTTAGCCTCCTGAGTAGCTGGGACTACAAGTGCTTGCCACCTCGCCTGCCTCTGTAGCATTTTTAGGCCCTGTGCCGTATGCCTGTTTTTGCATGTATCATATTTTTTAATGAGTTCTTTTTGTTTGACATTTAGTTGGTTCCAAACTTTGATTTCTTTTATATCAGTGATTCTAAAGTTTGAATGATGGGAATGACTACAGTTAGTATCCTTTCAGCTTTGTGCACATTTATTTGTTTTATTATGACAAATTTTTAGGACTAGAATTCTGGAGATAACGAAGGTACCAAGTTGTTAATCATTTCTGAAGTAGATGCCTTTAGTCATACATAAGTCATACATCTTTCCAGTAAGGAAAACAAAATTTCATGTGCAAAATGCACATGATCTTAGTAAAATCCTATGGGAACAGGCTGTAGCTATCAGGCCATGTTTCCAGATCATTCACCCCCAGGTGCAAGGGTGATTATTATCAGGCTGATAATTATGGTCTTATGTCTGTACTCACTGATCTCAACCCTCCTAATTCTGCTTTTGTAGATCTCTGTCCTTTTTACAGGGAAGAGCAGGATGGCTATGTCCCAGGTGAGTTCCTAATTTACTCCTATTTTTTTTCCAATGAACTTGAAGCAGAGGCAGCTTTTAGGAATCTATGCTGTAGCCTTGAAAAAAAAATCTGTCAATTTCCTCTGTTTTCTCTTGTGTCATCTTTCAGCGTGTCATCTACTGCAGGTTTCCTTAATCTTTCCCCTCAGAGAGACAGACAGAGAGAGAGAGAGAGAGAGAGAACAAAGGAGAAAAGAAAGACAATTCACTACTTATCCCTTTGGGGCCTGTACCTCATTTTTTCTTCTTTTCCTTACACATAAATTTCCTTAAAATTGCCTTCTCTAAGTCTATGCTAATTACTGCTTTCACAAAATTGTACAGACCAGGTAATTTGTACATTAATTAAAAAAAAAAAAGAATAGTACAACGAGGGTTTCTTCCCGGATTCCGGGAGGTTGGTGGCCCTGCGGCCCAGCTCCAAAGCCCCTCCTCCAGGCCACTTCCCCTAATGAGCCAGACCCCTCTCAGCTCTCAGGACTGTCTGAGCCAGGCCCGGGTCCCCGCTCTGTACTACCCGTTCCGGCCTCTAGATGGCCCCGCCCTAGTTGCGCTAATGACAGAAGAGGCCTGACTCTCTCTTTTCCTGGCCCCAGGAGCAGAAGGCAGTGGAAAGCGTGGCTTCAGGAATGGAGGGGTGAGAACTACCAGGGGCGCAGGAAAACAAAGCGGGAGAGGGGGGTCCGGCCTCGGTGCGGGCAGGAGCCCGGCCGCTGGCCTCTTGCCACCCAGGGACACCTCCCAGAGCCTTTCGTACGACCCGCCAGAGGAAATGGTCGCACGCTCTTGTCGCTCCCTCTTGCGTCTGAGCGAGTACTGTCAAACCACACTCTCTGAAAGGCGCCATGTTGACCATCGGCGGTGGTGCCCGCCACCCCCCCTCCCCCGGGTCCTCTCATGCGCATGCGCAGTGCCGCGACCTCGCATTCCCAGAGTGACGGGAAGCGGAAGTGCTCAGCCGACCCAGGAGGGCCTCTTGTAGTTTATGCGGGCAGTTGTCATCGGTCCCTGACGGGCTCTTGGCGGTGAAGTAAGGGGGAGACGGAGATGGTGATGGGTTTGATGGGCTGGGGTTGTTGGTAGGGTTGTGAGTGAGCGCCCTTGTGGAGGTTGAGAGACGCGGGCCGTGGCCGTGAGTGTTGGGATCGCGTGTTTGGAATTGATTGAGTCATTCAGGGACGGTTTCCTGAGTGCCTAATTAATGCCAGGCACCATTGCAAATATTTCACATTAGTCTTCCAGGAGCCCTGTGGGGTAGTACTATGATTATATCCATTTGACAAAGAAAATAGCAGTGTGGCTCGGCAACCTGTCCAAAATCACATAGGTAGCAAACCCAAGGGATCCTTTATCTTTTCCTATATTTATCATGTTTATTGTTTCCCATCTGCCTTCCCTGCTAGAATATAAGCTCCACAGGAGCGGGGAACTCCAAAATTTTTTGCCAGATATATCTCTAACACGGAAAACAAGCACATAGAAGGCACTCATTTCTTAAATGAATTAAAGTGGCATAGCAGGCTATTAGTTGGTTCCAAAGATGAGACCCTTAGTAAGGCAATGTGCAGCTCATTGACGATTGGTGAGCTTTGTATGAATGCTGACTCTTAAAAGTAGAACGAGACATTTCATATTCTGTTGCGTGAAAACCTTTGGATTTTACCGAACTTCACTCCATGGAAGGTAGCAAAGGGGTTGCTAATGAAATCTCCTGTGGTCATTGTGTGTCCAGGGTCAGAGTGTGTAACTGAGACCACTGCTCACCAACTGCAGACTCCAGCCTATCTGTGTCCAGGCTTCCTCACTTAGTCTGAGAAGACCCATTCAGAGGCCTCAGGAAGAGGTGAGTTCCCTGGGTCACAGGCAGACATCTGGTACTGCAGTGAGGTCCCAGTTCACGTGTGTTTGTGTCTGAATTTCTTGGTCCTGTCTCCTTGAGAACAAGAGAGGTGCTCTGAGGCAAGTCGGAGGAGAAGCCTCAGC